TCTAAAGCTGCACTGTGTAACTTTTCTGATGGAGGCTCCGTCAAATGCTTTTCTCCGTGGAGATGTTATTGCTTTGTCTGGAATGTTTCACAGTATGACATTAAACCTTTCTATCTTCATGGAGACCAAACCAGACCAAGTTACAGGTCAGATCTGTGGAGAGGCGACCCCGCTCACAGTCAGAATGTCTGTTTTTCGAGGTATTTTTGAGTTATAAAACCACCTGTCATTGAATAAATGTAAAGTAGAGCTGTTTAATGTCACACTGTGGAACATTCCAGACAGAGAAATTAAATCTCCATAGAAACAAACAGGTGACGAACTCCCAACCAAAAAGTTACACAGTGCACCTTTAAACTTTGTGAACTAAAGAAGATTGCTTGTATTCAGAAATAAAAAGTGTCATTATGGACTGTGTAGAGTCCAGTAACACCTGAACACGGCTCTAACCTGATCAGGACCAATCAGGACCAATCTGGACCAATTTGGACCAATCAGAATCAGGTTTCAGACTCTCTGGGTTCAGGTTCGGCGCTGATCTCATTTAAAGCAGGAACTGTCAGAACATTACACTGTACACTTTCAACTCCAGGAGGACGTTTTGGATCGACTCTGAAATCAAGCCGGCTTCGATCTCCTCCATTTAAAGCATCTCCATGGAAACGAGCAGGAAGAGGCTCTCCTCCAGAACAAATAAGAATCAGGTTTGTGGAGATGCAAGCCTGCTCACTGTAAGGACGCAGGATTTTCAAGGCAAAATAACTCAACCAAAATACTTAAGTCTATATTTATGTTACATACTGTGGCTTTAAAGGACAATAAAACTAAATGAGGTTTAAACCAGGACTAAACCAGGACTGAACCAGGACTAATCATGGTCTTACAAAGGTTTAATCCAGGACTAAACCAGGTATAAATCAGGACAAAACCAGGGCTAAACCAGGGCTAAACCAGGACTGAGCCTGGTCCTAAGCAGGCCTAAACCAGGACTAACCATGGCCTGACAAAGGTTTAACCCAGGACTAAACCAGGTCTAAATCAGGATAAAAAAAACAGGACTGAACGAGGACTAAACCTGGACTAAACTGGAACTAAACCAGGTCTAAATCAGGACTAAACCAGGTTTAAATTAGGACTAAACCAGGACTGAACCAGGAATGAACCAGGACTAAACTGGGACTAAACCAGGGCTGAACCAGGACAAAACCAGGTTCTGAAAAGGACTGAACCAGGTCTAAACCAGGACTCACCCTTCTTCTTGAGCTGCCAGAGGACTGAGGGACAGTTTGGACAGGTTCTTGGCGTATTCCTCTTCGATCTTTATCCTGCAACAAAAAAGAGAAAATGAAACTTCTCTGTGTTTATACAGTCCATATGAAACCAGGTCTAAACCAGGTCTAAACCAGGACAAAACCAGCATTATACCAGGTCTAATCCAGGATTAAACATGGCTTTAATCGGGACTAAACCAAGTCTAACCCAAAACTAAACCACCACTAAACTAGGACTACATCAGGTCTAAACCAGATCTAAACCAGGACTAAACTAGATCTAAACCAGGATTAAACCAGGTCTAACCAAGGCCTAATCCAGGACTAAACCAGATCAAAATCAGGTCTAACCTCTCGTGGAAGAACTCAGCCATCTCCTTCTGCAGTGTTTTTCCTTTGAGCTGTTTTTGGATGAGCACTTCTATCCCCGGCACACAGGGGGCGCCCTGGGGGTCCTTCTTATCCGCCTGAAACAACAAACGTTCAGATGAAACAGGAAACACGCTGCAGGGGCAAAGTGACACGATAGAACAATATAATCTCATGTTTAAGGTCCACGGTGGGCTCTGCGGAGAGGAGTTTGCAGGGGTTTAAATGTGTCTATGTCCAGTATGGTTTTCATGTGAGCAGAGGGCTCTCCTCTCCACAGATCTCACCTGTGACTGGACTTGATGGCATCACCTTTATCTCCATGGAGTTAGAGAAGTTCAATACAGAGACTATAAATGGACGTTAGCTGCAGCGTTCCAAAAAGAAAGTGAGCATAGGGGCACTTCCGGCTCCATCACACTCTGGCTCCAGTTCACTTTCTATTGAAAAACCACCTCCCCTCTCTCTGTAACGGCAACTGTCAGGCTCCTCATTTTGGTCGTAAATGTTCATATTAACCCGCTCTACATGATCCTGGGATTTTTATTTCACTATTTTTTGCCATAAATCAAGATATGAACATTAATAACAGACAAATCAGGCGCCTTCACTCACCTGGGTGAAGTTGGCCCGTACACAAAAACTATGTCAATCATTTGTGCTTCGCTTGTGCTACAGAAAGTTTCATTTGTGCTGCTTTAGTTTTGGAGATATTAATGATTCTTTTATAGGTCAAATTGGGGTTAGCAGCCCCAGGAAGCTTCATAATGCTCTAAAACGCCCAAGATGAAGTCAGTCGTTTGTGCTTCGTTTGTGCAGTTTTGTGCTGCAAAGTTTGGTTTGTGTGATTTTCGTTCTTAAAGGGATAGTTAGTTGTTGTTTTTTTTCACATGAATCTGTATGTCATCCCCGTCAGCAGTGTCGTGCATCCACACTGATTTACCCCCGACAGCGCCCGGTGAGCCGAGATACTGGCCGGTTTTGGTGCTGATGAAAGTAGTCCGGCAAGTTGACTGGGGACAGTAAAATAAAGTGTTTTTCTTCTCAAAACAATATGTGTTCAAAAGAGTGATACATTTGCATCACAAAACCATCGTCCTCCAAAAACTCAGACCTCATAATCGCTTGGCACTATTTTCTCTCTGTTCGTACATCAGTGAAACAGGCGCGGCTGTCACCTGGCGGCAGTGCGCAGTTATACGAACGGACTTTGGATTTTTCCATAGACTCTGACAGTTTACAAAGGGTATGAATAATTCTGGACATGCCACTTTTCTTTGAAATTTAAATAAAAGCTGAGAAATCTTTTTTTCCACAATGAGTGTGTACACATGCACATCAATAACCCGGTTATGATCGGGGTTTTTGAGTATCCCGGTTTCTTGATGGTGCATGTATACGCAGTAACCCGGTTTCTGTATCCCGGTTATTAGAAACCGGGTTACTGTAGCTGGTTTATTCCGATAGTAACCAGGATACTTGTGACATGTAAACGCAGTACCCCGGTTACTGCAACATAAAGTTGAGTGCACATGCGTCCAAAAGACACTTTCCAGTCTTTTCACCACAACAGTAGCGGCATAAATAAATTCAACAACATAAATAAAGTGACCAAACGAGTGAAATGACTGTAAAATTAAGAGCTGCGCTAAACCTGCACACGTACAACCTGCACTCATGTGATCGCTGAAAACTAAAAGATGAACTATCTCCTTTACAACACAAGCACAGAACAGACTCACCATCATCAGCACCTCTTCTGTCACAAAAAGAACTCACATAATCCACAGAGTCGTGTCATTTAGTCCAAAAGAAGCTGACTGACATTTTATGCTAATTAGCGATGTGGTCTTAAGTTTTGTTTCTGTAAAACGTAAACAAATGTGATCAGAGCTGAATGATCTGATCAAACGGGCTGATGTGGCTCTACAGTGTTTATGGTTTATATGTTGTAAAGTTGAGTTTATTTATGCAGAAGATTTTAATGAAGAATCTGTTTATCTTGTAAATCTCGTAGCTCCTTAGCTTCTTATGCTAAAGGAGCTCACGGTTTGTCCTTTCCCCGTTTATGAAATTGATTTAAGTTCATTTTTGCGCTTGCGCATTTGTAAGATTATGTCAAGAAACCGGGATACTCCATTTGATCATGTGTACGAGGATATGAGTGTCCCGGTTTCTCAGTGCGCATGTAAACACAGTAACACGAATACTGACAGAACCGGGATATGGCGAATAACTGGGATACTGATGTACATGTAAACACACTCAGTGATGCCTCTTGTACATCGTCTTATTATCTTCTGGGAGACGCCTGTGTTATTTCCAATCAAGAGTAAGTAACTTTAAGTCAAAGTTTGTCAGGGGTATGAATAATTTTGGGCTTGACAGTGTATCATTATTGTTTCTCTCTTGGCACAAACACAAAATAAAAACTAATCAATCAATCATTTTTTGTGAAGAGTGCAGTGTTGTGTCTGAAGTCCTGGAGGAGACCTGACCTTCTGTTTACTCACATTAAAATAAATCACGTCGTACAGTTATTGATTTGGTGAAGTAGAATCATTATGACACTTTTCTCTTCTTCTTTTCTGTTCTATTTTTAACATTTCTCCTAAAGTTAATTTCATGTTTTTACAGCTCGGCTAAAGAGAGATTTAACCTGAGACGTGTTCCATGTGAAACAGCTGCTCTCCTCATCCTCCATCGATCCTTCTATTCATACTCCACCATCAATCACTACACAGCAGCAGCAGCGGCAGAGTGGTTAGCTCTCCTTCCCTCACTGAAGAGGCTGTGGGTTAGACTCCTGATCTCTACGAGTGGGGTGTGCATGTTCTCCCTGTGCTACAAGTGCAGTCCTGGTTTAGTCCCGGTTCAGTCTTCATTTAGTCCTGGATTAGTCCTGATTCAGTCCTGGTTTAGTCCTGTATTAGTCTTGGTTTAGTCCTAGTTCAGGCCTAGTTTAGTTTTGATTTAGTCCTGGTTTAGTCTTGATTTAGTCATCCTTTAGTCCTAATTTAATCCTGTTTTAGTTCTGGTTTAGTCCTGGTTTAGTCCTGGTTTAGTCCTGGTTTAGTCCTGGTTTAGTCCAGGTTTAGTCCAGGTTTAGTCCTACATTATTCTTGGATTAGTCCTGATTCAGTTTTGGTTCAGTCCTGATTTAGTCTTGTTTTAGTCCTAGATTAGTCCTGGATTAGTCCTGATTCAGTCCTGGTTTAGTCCTGGTTTAGTCCAGGTTTAGTCCAGGTTTAGTCCTACATTATTCTTGGATTAGTCCTGATTCAGTTTTGGTTCAGTCCTGATTTAGTCTTGTTTTAGTCCTAGATTAGTCCTGGATTAGTCCTGATTCAGTCCTGGTTTAGTCCTGGTTTATTTCTGGTTCAATCCTGGTCTAGTCCTGATCTAGCGTTAGTTTAATTCTGTTTTGTCTTGAATTAGTCATGATTTAGACCTGGTTTTGTTCTGATTCAGTCCAGTTTTATTTCTGTTTTAATCCTGTTTTCGTCCAGTTTTAATCCTGTTTTAATTCAATTTTAGTCCAGTTTTAATCCTGTTTTAGTCCAGTTTTAAGCCTGTTTTAGTCCTGTTCAGTAAATGTGATGACCCTGTGTTATTGTGGCAGAGTGGTTAGCCCGTGTCCTCCTCTCAGTTGGAGGTTGCGAGTTTGATTCCTTCACTGACCCAGAAGTAGTCGCAGTAGCTCCAGTCTCCAGGTTTGAGCAGCTGCTGTTCAGGTCCTTCTCCGGGCAGAGGGAACGTCACGCAGTTCACCTGAAAACACAACACAGCACACTGAGCATCCGGGAAATCAACTCTTCTAACACTTTTATTTTATTTTTTGAGCATGAGAATGTTCCACAGTGTGACATTAAACAGTTCTACTTTACCTTTATTCAATTACAGGTGGTTTTAAAGCTCAAAAATACCTTGAAAAACAAACATTCTGACTGTGAGTGGGGTCGCCTCTCCACAGATCTGACCTGTAACTTGCTCTGGTTTGGTCTCCATGAAGATAGAAAGGTTTAATGCCATACTGTGAAACATTCCAGCATCTCCACGGAGAAAAACATTTGACGGACCTGACACAATGCACTTTTTTTTTTTTTTTTTTCTAATTCTGACTTGGTTTGGTGGATACATGTGGTAAATATTGATTCTAGTTTTACTTCAGTTTAAACAGAAGTAGAGTTGAGCGGCTTATGTCATCAGCTCCATCCAAAATGTAGAAATCACAAAAACACTGGACATGATCGCTGTGTTTTTGTTCTCAAGACCCAAACCGAAAGCAGAATGTGTCATGAAGAAACAGGAGAGGATCCAAAATGCTGCACTTCAGTAGTTTAACCCTCACGCTCTCCTCGGGGTCACAGAGACCCAAAGAATTTTTTTTTTTCCCCACTCTCTTAGGAAAGAAAAAAAAAATCGGTAACACTTTATAATAACTACATCTTATTTAGCCTTAATAAAGCATGAACAAACACTTAATTAATAATGATTCAGGCTTAGTAACTACTTAATTACTACCTGAATTAGCACTTAACTTGCACTTAATTCACCTGTGCTGTAAATAGTTACTCAATACTTCTTAATTACTCATGAACTAACCATTTGCATGTTTACAAATGTATATGTAAGTACACATTTGAGCATTTATTCATGATTAATAAGTCATGAGAGAATGATTTACTAATAATACAATGCAATGATCATTCAGGCAGCTGTTATCTGTTAGTTAAGTCTTTCTGAGAACTTTTCTAAAGTGAAGACTAATTATGTTTATTAAACATTTGTTAAGGTTCCAGAGAAACAATAATGCATTATTAGTAAATTATTCTCTCATGGCTTATTAATTATTAATAAATGCTCAAATTTGTACTTAAATATACATTTACGAATGCACACACAAATGGTTAGTTCATGAGTAATTAAGTAAGAAATACTTATGACTAACTATTTACAGCACAGGTTAATTAAATGCAAGTTAAGTGCTAATTCAGGTAGTAATTAAGTAGTTACTAAGCATGAATCATTATTAAATAAGTCTTTGTTCATGCTTTATTGAGGCTAAATAAGGTGTAGTTATTATAAAGTGTTACCAAAAAATCCTTCCCAATCAAGACAGGTAGTAAAACTGTAGGACAATGAATCACCAGGGTAACCCAAATTTAAGACTTCTGAAGACATTTTTAAGACCACTTAAATGAAAATTAAGACCAACATCGCACCCATTATGCGGGCAAAAAACACCAGATCTTATTCTAATAATTATAATCATATAATTCATTCATGCCTTCATCTCCTCCAGACTTGACCTCTGCAATAGCTTCCTGTACAATCTCCACTCCACCCACCTCCAAAAACTGCAATACATTCAAAACTCTGCCGCTCGCCTCACCACACCACATCACTCCTGTCCTTAAGCAACTCCACTGGCTCCCCGTACAACACCGCATCCAATACAAGGTCCTCCTCATCACCTTACAAGTCCCTCCATAACCTGGCCCCTCCCTCTCACCGACCTCCTCCGTCTGCACCGTCCCACCCGCCGCCTCAGATCGGCCGACACCAACCTCCTCGCTCCCCTCATCAAAGCACCGGACTTTGGGGGGGGCTGAGCCTTCGCTGCCGCTGCCCCCTCCCTCTGAAACTCACTCCCACAATCCATCAGGAACTCAAACTCACTGCAGCACTTCAGATCAGGACTAAAAACTCACCTGTTCGAACCGGCATTCCCCCCATGCCTCTCCGTTTTCTACAGTGTCACTTTTATTTGTTTCTAAAGCGTCTTTGAGTGTCCAAAAAAGCACTATATAAGTCTGACCAACCAATGACTATATCTAGAATCTAAGTCTACGTTCAGACTGCAGGGCTTAATGCTCAATTCAGATTTTTTTGTGAAATCTGATGTTTTTGTGAGGTCGTTCACATTTCCAATTAAATGTGACTTGTATGTGTCTCCAGTTTGAACAGTAAACGGCCCGAAAGTGTCCCACATGTGCACTGGAGACACGATGATGTCAACCACAGTGAGCGTCTCTGTGTTTACAGAAGTTGTCCAAACATGGACGCAGCATTGAGCACCTGGAGATTTTAAAGTTCCTCTCGTACCGGAGCCAGAACATGAACAACTTACTTGTTTTAAGGAGGAGATTGAGAAGGAGAAGGACGAGGTTTTTGGCCGTGGTGTTTTGTGGGACAGCGGCAGCAACGTCCATTGAAAAGAAAGTGTGGATGTGGAGACGGAGCCAAGAGTGGTGAGTGGTGATGTGCTTCACTTCAGGGACACGGAGTTCATTTACAATTTTCTCCTACTTCAGCGCAGAATAGTGACATTTGTGTCTTGTTGATAACGTGTAGGTGGATGGATGCGCTTTGTCCGTTCAGACTGAAGTCACATGTCAAAAGATCAGATATGTATCAGTTTCAGGAGCACATATCCAAGTGTCCAGGGTCACATTTGAAAAAAGGTCACATAGGGGCCAAAAAATCGGATTTGGGTCACTTCAGGCTGCAGTCTGAACGCAGCCTAAGAGCCACTGTGGATTAAACCTGTCCAGGCTGACACCACCTAGTGCCTCCTCTCAATTTCATTTCTCTCCAGCGAATAGGTCAGGAATCAGAATACACTAGACCACTACCACTAGGGTATCAAACATACGGCCCGGGGGCCAGATCTGGCCCTCCAAGACCTTTAATCTGGCCCTCGGCTGATTTTCTACTACAATATTTTAATTATAATTTCTATTAAAATATTGTTAATTTTCTGCGGCGCTGAGCGGAGCAGCGTCTCCAGCGTCTCTGTACGTGGCCCCTCCCACCAGAGCAGCACAAATGAAGACTTGCCTCTTTCCAAACGCTCTTAAAGGACGATCGTTTTGACTGTTGACCGTGACACCCTCATCAACAAAATGTCCAAAATGAGAAAAGTGGAGCAGAGTGCAGGATTTTCCCCAAAAACATTGACTTATTCCTATTTACATACAAGTTAATGTTAAAACATTGTGTTGAAATTGTATTTTTCTTAAAGTTTCAGGTTGTTCATAATATTATAATATTTAGTAAAAGAGTTCATCAGTTAAAAAAGATTTCTGTAATAGATTTGTGTTTCTCTGCACAAATATTTGAACTTATTGTTATTTTTGGGGTTTATATGAGATGAGTTTTCTGATCCGGCCCCTCTAGAATCAAAGTAGGTTGGATACAGCCCCTTGGACCAAAATGAGTTTGACTCTCCTGCACTAGACAATTTGCAAAAACCCTGAAAGTGCAAGTTCAGGCACCAGCCAATCATCAAAGAGACATTCTGTGTTGGGAACGACTCCCAACATTGTGGATTTAAAGACGGAACAAAGAGAAAAAACAGTTAGCCCCATTAGTGGTGCATTACATACATCATGACCAAATAACAGTTTACAAAAAAATAGGCTAATGAATTTTAAGACCTTTGTGAAAAAAATAAGACTTGGACAACAGGATTTAAGCCTTTTGAAGGCCTTAATTTAGGAACATGAAATTTAAGACCTTTTTAAGACTTTTAAGACCCTGCGGCTGCCCTGGGCTGTCAAACTCAAAATCACAGAGGCCAAAATTACAAAACTGGGACTAAGTCATGGGCCAAAGTAAATATTTATTGGGAAATTTCAACATCATCTGCATGTTTACTCTTCTTTCGAGATGTGTAATGTTAAACTTTTTCTTATTAAAGTAAATGTTTAATAATAATTTTGCTCAAACACTGAATCCAGAACAAGCAGAATATAAAATAATAACACAATTTTAAAGAAATCATGTCTCTGTAGGCGGCAGGCAGCTCGAATACATGTTTGATGTGATCTCACGGGCCAAATAAAATTATATTTCTGGCCAAATTTGAGTCAAATCTGAGTTTGACATGTCTGCTGTAAAAGAAGTGGATGGTTTCTCCCTAAACACCAGCACCTGCAGCGTCATGAGTCAGTGCCTTTATGAATCTGCGGCTCAGGGAGGAGCTCTGGAGGTTCTGAGTGTTTACATGAGTCCTGTCCATAAAGTGAGAATGAGACAAACTTGTGTGTGTCTCTTTCTGCAGGTGAAGACTCCAGAGACACAGGTTCAGCTGCGATTGAACCTTTTAAAACAAACAGAGCACACCACACAGTCTCTGCATAAAATTGTAAAACTCATGAATTATTAATGTCAGAGGTGGAAGGAATAAAAACAGATGATCATTTTTTCTTTAGCTCTGGATCCTGCCTGGACACAGAACTAAAGAACGATCCCAGTGAATTCCACACAGATTTCAGCGGCTCGTTTGTTGAATATGAGATGTTTTTTGTTTTTTTTCTGTTTAAGGAGGAAAAGGCCAGGTTTGTCTGGACCTCAGGGCAGTGCAGGAGATCAGGACGTGTGGACATATTTTGCTTTGGATCTTGTTGTTTTTTTTCTGAGCGCTAAAGGTCGAGGCATAAACACGAGGAGCGAGAAGGAGCCTGAGGACACTTCACAAACACATGAACACGAGCAGCCGCCATCTTGGACCGAGCTCTGAACTCTGAGCATGCAGCTGTTTCAGAGGACAAATCACACTTAGAAATATGTCCAGACCATGCACTGTTTATATAAACGGATAGGAAGTTCTCATGCGGCTCTTTCAGCTTCCATCATTAGAATATCGCGGTTCACCTTTCGCGGTCTTGCTGTTTTGCAAATTTTTTAATGAGATTTTGCATGTTTTTTTAGTTTTTTTTTTACAGCGTATGAAGGTGCACTGTGTCCTCCCCCTGCGTCCTGAT